CACAACCGTCAACATTCATTCCAGAATCACCCAGTTGAAATGCCAATTGTGGGCAGAGATTGTGGTGGATACATCTTCTCCAAGAGCGTGGCTATTACATACTATCGAAAGAATTGGTTTGGTTGATTTGGGGTGGGGGGAACCCTCTTCTGGAGATTTGCAAAGTGAATTGCCTTGGGTTGGTTGGCAATTGCAGTCTTGACATTTGGCTCGAATTTCCTGTTTCCTCTCCTGCATGTTTCCTTAGCTTTCTTCCATAGCGTGTTACTGCCTTGTCTAAATGCTTCGATAAAATCAATTTAAAAGATACGATTTGATAACCAGTGTTTCTGAATAGCTCATCTTGCAACTGAGAAGCTGTTAGTTAGAAGTATCTATACTATTTTTGTGGGGGGAAAGAAGGGGAAAAAGAACAAATTTCTTTAAAAGAACTTTTTTCATTGAAATATACTTTTTGATGATTTCCATGTCCAGGTGCCAAACCCATCATTGTAGCAACACCTTAATCACCAATATTGTTTGAAGTGAAAACTATAAATTAGAAAGGTTTCTTCTTAACTGCAGATTATCACATGCCACGGTTCTCCACGTACAAAGCGTGGCAGCTCTATTCTGTGGGTTTCATTAAAGTGAGGAATTGGGGGAGTGTCATTGAATTAACAGGGTAGAAATTGTTTACTTAGATTTTCAGAACTAGTGCCATGCATTTAAAAAAAATCTCCTTCTTCCCCCTATCAATTCTCATTCAATGTGATGAAAGAGAAATTGTGTTACATGTTTATTTCATGGGAGAAGAGAATTTTAGAGAAGATGCCATAGGTAAAGGGCACTTATTTTGTGAAAGTGTCCAAGGTTGTGTTAATGCTCTGTCTTTCATTCTACAGTCATTTCTCCAATGGTCTGATGCCTCCCTAGATAACTTTTCCTGTGGGAACTTCTCCCACTTTTTCAAACTGGAAATTGCAAACAACCAGGGAGACTTCACATTCATGAAGCACTGAAAAGCAATTTTATACATGTGTGCAAGAGCAAGAGATTTGCTCCCCAAACATCCTGCATAAGAAGTGGTTCTTTCTTAAAGAATTCAAAAATGGTGTGATGTTGAAGAGGAGGACCCCCAATTATCTATGGTGATGTTATTTTAAAAGGGATGTCTAAGAGCAAATCTCTGTCTCTTCATACTGGAGAAATGAGATAAATGTAAGCAAATTTACCAGAGCCAAAAAAAAAAAAAAATCCAACTTCACAGATGCATTGATAATGAATAGTTAATGAAAACACAATCCGTTCCATGGGTGCTGAGAAAAAGACAGATACCAAGTTAGAGGATCCATTTCTTTGAGTTGATCAAAGAACTCAGTTCTTTGCACAAGACAGTGCTAGGGAATCCATTGCTATCAGAAATGGTGATGGTCACTCATTTAGACCATTTTAAATGGAGACTAGACAGATTCAAGGAGAAATCAGCCCATAATAATGGTATGTCCTTGAAAGACATTCCTTGTCTTCTAAATCACTGGCCGTGTACCTTAAATACCAAATGTTGGGGAGTAACAATGAGAAATGGCTACATTCTCCATCCCAGATTTGTGGGTGTATGGAATGCATCTGGTTGCCCCTGCATGACAGAGAAGGCTGGACTAGTTGGATGCTTGGCCTGGTCTATGAAGGCTCTTCTAATGGTCTCCAATCCCTTCTCCCCTTGCTATTGTCTGTTCAGATTCAGGCTTATCAGCAATGGCTACATCTTTCCTACCTCAATGGCAGGGTTGCCTTTCCAAGGCTACCGCCTGATGCAAGGCGCCTCATAAAGATGTGACTGCAAAGAACAGAAACGGCAAAATATACCCCAGCCAGAACTTTACCTGAAATGCAACTTATTAGACTGGAGAGACTTTGCTTTCTGAATAGATGCTTCCTTGTGTGAGACATGACATTCCATACTTGGAAAACATTCACAAATTCAGTACTGTATAGGGAAATCTCTCCATCTTGACAAGAATGGAGGAATTACAATTGCCCATAGATCTTTCTGATCCTGAGCAGGCATCTTGTATAAATTAGCTGCAAGGTTTATCTTTTCCTCTTCCTTTTCCTTTTCCTTGTCCTTTTCCTTCCCTCTGTTTCTCTCCTCCCTCCCTCCCTCCCTTCCCCCAAAGAATTTGATATGGAAAGTTGAATGGTGGTCCAAACAGGGAAGAATTCTTGTGACAGATCAGGATGTAACAGATAAAAATGTGTGGATAAGAATAAATTTGTTCTCTTGTTGTTCTTGTATGTTACTTTATTAAAGATTCTTTTAAAACAGGTTTAAAAAGCACAGGGTTACCCCTTTACCATTTTCAGCTTTTCCTAACTTGGAAATTTTGGAGTGGGGAGGGGAGAGGAAGACTAGAGGGAGGAGTACATAGGAAAAAGGTGAAGACGGGCAGGCAGGAGGCAGAGGCCAAGCACGCGTTGTAGGTGAAAAAAGCCAAGTGCATGTGGCAATGTGTAGGAGAGATAAGGTGGACCTTTACTTGCTTGGAATTCATACTTACACTGAAATGTTTTGACTTGTTTTTTCTGGAAAGGTTTATATTCTCCCACCAGGTCCAGTGGAAATGAGAGCTAGTCTTTAGGTTACATCTGCCCATATTACCCTGGGATGAGTTTTTCATGCTCTAACCATGTCGCTTTAGAAGTTCCTATTGCAACCTCCCCATCCTGGTACTGACGAGGTGTATTGGAATTATAACTCCAATATTTCATATTCAACAGTGGAAAATGCTAGGTTGGAGGAGGTGGTGTTACTACATGAAGCTCATACTGAGTTTCCTTCAACAGATGGGAGGCAGTAATACCCCAGTAATAAACTGCTTTGCTTGCAGAAAAATCCTGGTTCAAGCTTCAGCATCCCCAAAAGGGGAAAAAATGCCCAGTTTCCTGGGTCAAACCCTAGAGAACTGCTGCCAGTCAGTGTTGACAATACCAGGCTAGTAATAATTCTTGTCCAGTACTGTTCCAAAGATTAATTAGGTATACAGTAGCTTCCTATGTTCCTAGGATTCCATACATGATTCATATGACAAAGTGCAGTAAAACATTTTGATTATCATATTAGTTAAGTGTGGTCTTGATGGCATGTCTGTTACATTGATTCATAGTTGGCTTGAAAACCACACTTAAAGAGGACTCATCAGTGTTGTGTTACCAAACAAGAGTGAAATAATAAATGTTGTGTCTCAGTGATTTATGCTTATCAGTCACAAATATTGCTATGACACAAAACTGGTGGGATAGCTAATACTCTAGAAGATAGGAACAAAATTAAGGTGACCTTGTTAAGTTAAAGCTAAAAATAACAGAATAAAATTTAATTGAAAGAATGCAAAGTTCTTCATTTAGGAAATCAAATGCATAGGCATAGGATGGGGGATTCCTAACTTGGTGTGAAAAGTGTCTTGGAACTGCAGTTGATCACAACCTGAATATGAGTCAGCAGTGAGACATGGCTTTTAGAAAGACAAATACAACATATGGTTGCATCGATAGAAGTATACCTTCTGAATCTCAGGAAGTAATACTTGCAGGGAGATCATACTTCTGCCTCACGTATAGTACTGTAATTTACAACCATGTTTTAAGAAAGATTCACATCAATTGGAATCAGTGCAGAGCAGGAAACTAAGGAGGTTACAAGGAGGGCATAAGAAAACCAGTACACTACATTTCCTCTTCAGAAAACACAACTGAAGGGAAATAGCACTTTTCAAGTATTTGAAAGGATGTCACAAAGGAGAAGGCCATGACCTGTTTTCTGTTATCCCAGAATAGGGGGTATGGAATAAGTTCCAAGAAGGCATAATTTGATTAAAGGCTAGGAAAAACTTCCAAGCAATAAGAGCAGCACAGGAATGGATCCAATCATCCAGAGAGATGGTGGGCTCCCATCCCTTGGAGATGTTCAAGCAGAGGCTTGATGGCCATCAGTCTGAGATGCTTGATTTGAGCTCCTATATTGAGCAGAGGGTTGGACTGGATGGTCTCAGTGACCTCTTTCAACTCTGATCCTGTGAATCATTGACTTTCAACTGACAACTGTCCCTCTTTTGGACAATGAATAACGATACCTATGGGCAGAAAAAGAGCCATCAGTGGGAGCAAATATTATCAGAGTTTACCTTGGTAAATGTGAATGAGAAAAGATAGCTATTCTTCAGACAGCCTTGAGAATGCTGCTTTGGACATGACTAGAGGGAGATAAGAAATTCAGCAGCAGTTCCAGCAACTCAGATGTGGTGGTTAATCAGGCTGACTGCCAACGTTAGCCTGCATCACCAGTATGATAAATTTGATTGCGCAACAATGTGGAGGGGGAACAAAAGACTTGGCAATGAAATTGAAGGAGGCAATTCCTATAGATCAATGTCCTTTCAAAGCCACTCTGGAAAAGTTCAAAAGTCCACATTTACCCATCGCCGTGCAGTAACCACTGCCACTCGTTGCTTTCTTTCTTGGCAGAAGCAGAATCAAGTCTCCTTTTATTCCTTGGCATTGTGGTGTTGGGAAGAGGCACCAAGCATTATCTTGCTGAATTCCATTTCACAGAAAAAGAAAGGTAGATAGGTAGGTTCATAGATAGCAGGATATACAGTGTACAGATAGACCAAAAAAACCAATCCTATTTTCAGCACCCACCAAATCTATCCCAAGTGGATCAGAAATCTCAAATTAGCACCAACAGTCTGTTGAGGTCCTGCTCCTGGCAGAACTGTGCTGAGTGTCCTGCGGGTAACTCATTGCTATGCACGTGTACTCGCAGATCAAGATCCTTGCATAGGCAGCAAAGGTAGGACAAAAAAAGGGGGGGATAATTAAATCATTTGAGGGTACTGCAAAAGGCATTTTCTGCTCAGCGTTCCAGGGCACGTTGGATTGGAACTGTACCCAGATCTCATTTCTGATTCTCTCCCTCTCTTCTCTCTCCTTTTGCCTTTTTGTCACCATATGATGCTCAGGGACTCCAGAGAGCCTAGCTGAGAAAGAGAGGCAGCTTATGGGCATGATCAATCAGCTGACCAGTTTGCGGGAGCAGCTGCTTGCAGCTCACGACGAGCAGAAGAAATTGGCGGCCTCGCAAATTGAGAAGCAACGCCAGCAAATGGAGCTGGCCAAGCAGCAACAAGAACAGGTGAGCAGTTATTAAAAGGGACTTTTAATCTAGTCCCGCTCTGGCATTGGGGAGCAGGAGATTAGCACTCTATTAACGTGTCTTTATTTTTAAGAGGTCTGAAATATTCACGGGTCTGATCCCAGAATGTAACTTTGAGGGCTGGAGGATAAAAAGTTAAACGGAATGTACAACAGTCGGTATTATTTGCAGCATGCAGTGCGAGAGAGGAATGGATTTCCAGGGTTTTTTAAAATATAATTATATTGTTCAACTTATGGAGAATATGTTAGAAGGAGGGTCCTTAAGGCAACCCACAAGCCCCTGCTCTTGCTTCCCTGCCCCAATGGTCAGATGGTGACCCCATGTAAACTTATAAAGATAGTGGGTTAGAGGAACAAGATAAGGGGTAAGGCAGCTTAAACTTCCCTTCCTCCCCACTCTTGTAGTTTAAACCCAGCATTGAGGCTCATCATTTAAAATTTACTCCATTGGGATGAAGAGCAAAAGCTATAAAATACCTGGGTGCCAACATTTGGAGGGATCATTTCAGCTTCAGATTTAATCTTTCCCTCCCTGGCCTAGGCAGACTTGCTCTCTTTCCACTTGGCAACTTCCATCAAAAGCCTGGATTCCCCACTGCTTCCTGTGGCCTTCAAGAAGAATGTCATATTGGTTTTGTCCCTAATTGGGCCATCATTTCTTGCCCCCTTCCAGGGGAACGGGGCTTGGGCTTCCTAGTCTACTGACACCCTCTCCATTTGACATTACCGTCTTTCAATGCAGTCATAAAGAAAGGGGAAAGTGGTGTTCTGTGAAGCCAAATACAGGCCTTTGGTATTATCTTTATCTACAAGAAGGCCACTGCCCCCCCCCTTCAAAAATCAATTAAATTTCTCAGGCCATACTGCTGAGAAGTATGGACAATGAAGTCCAACCTATTTGGAGTGCACCAGCTTGGGGAATGTTCTGATAATATTTAAGGTAGTTTTGAGCTGGTAATTGAAGGCTTAGTGTCAGTTCCCCCAACTGTACAGTATATATCTTCATCAGCATTAAGAGCCACCATATGACTCAATTTCCATCTGTAGAAAAACCTTAGGGGTCCCTGTGTCCCTCATTTGCCATGCCCTCTGGCTAGTTTTGAAATTGTTCTTTAGAATTACTGGTTTGGCAGCCTTTGACGTAGATGTTTGGCTTCTGATATTTTCTCATACTGTCCCATAATATGTGCAGTACAATCTCAAGTCTTCTTCCATTCTGAATGTCATTGGGTGTATTCACGGGACACTCTTACCCATGCTTAATTGAACCATGGTTTATTCAACCTAATTTTCTGTGTTTGCATGTCACACTGAACCATAAGCAACAAGGATCTGGATTGCATTACATGCTAGACCAACATGTCAACCTCTAGTTCATGGCTCACAGTCAGAGCAGGCAAACACCAAATTCCACTGCAGCCAGACTTTAAATTGAGGCCTTCCCAGACCTAGGACTAGAATTCATTTAAACTAGGTTAAACAATGGGCAGCCTTCCAAATTGGACAAACTGACTTGGAATGGCAGGAATTGGAATTGAGTAACATTCATCCTTGGCTTAAACTAAAGATGTGAAGGATCTTCAGTTTGGACCGACCAAGAGTTTTTTCTTTCATCCAAATCTGAAATTCTCTCCACCTCATTTATGAAATAGTTTATACATTTTTATACATTCTTATTATATACAGACTACAAAAACCCTTCTTCATCCACACTGAACAAAATCTGGATAATTTTACAGCAAAGGACCAAAATGCAGGGGCAAAAGAACATACAGTACATATAACAAACAATTTGGCAGAATTAAAGGGCATTGAGCAAATTTATGGAGGTTGAAGTGATCGGTGGCTACTTATTACGATGGCTGAATGTCAGTTTCTGTAATATTATCTCTGAATATCAGTAATTGAGAAACACAAGTGAGACAATGCTATTGCTTTCAAGGGCATTAACCACTGTGGGGTCATCCAGCATGGGCCACCTTATGTTCTTAGCGTTGTGTAAGAAAATGTTTTCCAGGCCAAAAAAAAAAAAAAATTCAGTGTAAAAACAGTTATTCAGCCATGACTGCTACACGTAAACAATAGTTTATCGGGTACTAGAATGGATGTATCAATTGTCTTAATTTGGACAAGACTGTTTATGGGCAAAGATCTAAGTACACTTGGAAGCATCTGTCTTTTGAGGCAGACACACGCAGACGCAAACATGCATACTTGCACACACCATTAAATTACGTGTACATGTGTTGACCCTACAGATTGCAAGACAGCAGCAGCAACTTCTGCAGCAACAACACAAAATCAACCTGCTTCAACAACAGATCCAGGTCAGAGATTATGAATCTGTCCATTATTTTAATTATTCAAGTCCATTTTCCATTCCTTTTCACTAACTTCAATTCAGTGACGCAGTGCCATTCATTAACCGAGGGGTGTCTGTATATGTAGATAGATGTCAGGTTCAAGTTCAGATTTGTGGCTTGAGGTCTGAGTGTGTATCTGTTCATACAGGTTGAATTCAATATGAGTGAGATCCACTGAAAGCAACTGGGTTTAAGGAGCCATAACTCAAGCCTAGTTGATTTAAATGTGTCTACACAATGTCAGTAACCACAGTGGATTTTCTATGATGCATGGTGTTAAATGAACAGCTGCCTTTCTCAGAACAACATCTGCAGAGGGTTTTGGAAACACGTTTATCGCAACCATGAAACCCCATTCATTTGCTAGGTAGCTGTCACACTGGCTCTGACCATAAATGGATGGACCATGTAGTGTTCCTTCTCTTAACGGGAAGCTGATTCAGTCAGAAACTTCTTTTTTGTGGAAGAGCCACAGAATGTTGGCAGTGCCATCTTTCACACAGCCAAACACACAGTTGGTGGGGAATTATTTCTGTTGTGGAAGTAAATCCATGATCCTATTCTGTGACAGTAGGTAGGATGAAGTTCAGAAAACAATATAAATCTCCTTGCATATTCTTCTAAGGCAGAGGGTTGTGCAAAGTTCCTCACTATGTTCCTTGATTGGTTGACATTTCCTATATAATAAAATGAGAAGAGACAAAACATGTGTTTCTGCACATTGGGAAAACAATGGTTGTAAAGAGGTCCAGTGAAGGATATTTTCAGGAAACATTTTTGATTCTTAAGCACTGGCTTACCTGTCATAATCAAGGCAGGAGAAGATCTGGGCCTAGTTCTTTGTTGTTTGGACCTCTTTTCCAGCTGCTTTTCCAAATTCTGCTCATTCTGATTACAAAGTTGACCAAATGGTGAGAAATTCACTCTAAAATGGTAGATTAATGTGAAGTCATCATGGTCTGAATGTTTAAGATGCAAGAGCAAGCAGCTCGTCCTTCTTCTCCATCTTCTCCTTCTCCTCCTCCTCCTTCTTTAAAAACTCTACTTCCTAGAGCCAATTTTCTGTTAAAGCTTACTAACATCACAATAATTCTTATGCATACAGTGTGAATTTTTCATTGATTTTAATTTATATTTCATAAAATATCATAATTTTTGAGAGTTGTATTGCCAGAGGATTGATTGACTGATTGATTTGATTTATATAACTGCTCGTCTCACACACATAACTCTAGGTGGCTTACAATAAAAAAAAGAAAATTAATAAAATGCACAATATAAAAAATAAAAATAAAACACATAGCAGCTGGGCATCATCCAACCAATTATCCACACAGCCAGGAGACGGGCTGTAACCCACTCCAGGCTCGGGCACAAAACCAAATTCTCAAGGCCTTATGGAAGGCCAGCTGGGATGGGGCTAATTTAATCTTAGGGGGGATGATGTTCCAAAGCATGGGCGTCACAGCAGAAAAGGCCCTCCTTCTGGGCCCCACCAACTGACATTGGCCAGAGCATGCCCCTCCTGCTGGATCGGATAGGACCAGGTAGAGACAACTGGGGAGAGATGGTCCTGTAAGTAATCTGATCCCAAGCCATGAAGGTCTTTAAAGGTGACAGCCAGCACCTTGAATTGCACCCAGAAGTACACCGGTAGCCAATGCAGCTCGCGGAGCAGTGGTGTCACGTGCTCCAAGTAACCGGTGTCAGTAACTGCCCACACCACTGTATTCTGCACCAATTGAAGCTTCTGAACACTCTTCAAAAGCAGCTCCATGTAAAGTGCATTTCACCAGTCCAGTCTGGAGGTCACAAGGGCACGAGTGATCGTGAGCAGGGCCTCCCCGGTCCAGGAACAGGTACAACTAACATACAACCCAAAGTTGCACAAAGGCCTTCTTAGCCATAGCTGCCACCTGCTTTTTCAGCAGGAGCCACAAGTCTAGGCTGAACCCCAGATTGCGCACCAGGTCTGCCTGGGGCAGTGCCATCCCATCCAGAACCAAAGATGGAAGGTCCCCCAGAACCAGGAGGTCCAAAAAACCCCAAACCCCTTGGTCTTGCTTGGGTCGAGCTGAAGCGTGTTGCTCCCCATCTAGGCCCCCAAAGCCTCCAGGCACTGAGACAGAACCTCCACAGCATCACTCAGGTGGCCTGGGATGGAGATATAAAGCATCCCAAACCGTCAGATGACCTTATCCAGCAGTTTCATGTAGATGTTAAACAAGGGGAGAGAGTACTGAGCCCTGCAGCAGCCCACAAAGGAGGGGCAGCCAGCTGGATCTTTCCCCCATCAACACTGGCTGGAACTGACTCCGGAGGAAGGAGAAGAACCAACACAACACTGTGCTGCCCACCCCCAACACCTGGAGCCTCCCCTGCCTTTCCCAAACACAATAATTTGAAAACGTTTCCCTCCTATCTTCCCTGTTCCAAACAACTGCCAAAACAGATGCCAAATCTTTCACTTCCATAAACTTTCTTCCCACAAGTTAATCTTTCCCATAATTTTCTTCTTAACCTTTAGGGTTCATTCCCAAGGGCAGGTATTCTAAGCTGCCGTCTGTGCATATCTACTGAAGAAGCAACCTAACTGAGATCAATGGGCTAATCAGCCTGTGAAGGATTGCAAACTTAAGGATATAAAAGTCGATTTTTAGGAATGCGCCGTATTGTTAAGAATATATTGCATCTGAATGTGTTTTCTTCCCCAAATAATTACAAATGAAAGAAGGAGTGCTTAACACTGCAGTGAGAATATGGTAATACTCAGTTGAAAGTGAGAAGATTGAATGGGGGAAAAGTGGAAATGTTAAAAGCAACTGTCTGAATGGAAAAGTTACTGCCCACACTTTAAAGGGGAAGAGGCAAGCATTTCGCTCCTGCCTGCATCTTATTCCTCTCCGTATGAAGAAAGTGAATGTGTGCAATGCAAACCATTCTCTCTCCATGAATGGTCACTGGGCAACGGAGAACTTTACAAAAGCAAGAACTTCGGTTTCTGGGGATTCTCCATAGGTAGGATTCTCTCTTCCAGCTGTGCAATACTTCGGAGTCAAAGATAAAAAGGTGCTTTGGGGTGCACCTCTGACTTCAACTGCTTAAAGCAGCTGTATCACTTTTAGGGATCACGTGGCTGCCTTCCACAACCACCATGCAATTCCAAAAAAAGACATTCTTGCTTTAAGATGTTGCGGAGAGAGGCTGTGCTCGAAAGGACCTTTTGCCTTCCCAACTTAAGTGCACAACCCTGCTCTCTGTTGCAAGCACTCACCCTTTACACATGAACAAGAGCTAGCATTCTGGCTGAACAAGACTAGAAGTCCTAAGCATACGTACTTGGCAGTAAGAGCCCCTCAGTTCAATGGGACTTCATTTAGAATAAACACATATAGGTTCCTTTGGGCTTGAAGCCCAGTGCAAAGATTTCTATCAACTTTTCTTGCTTGCTTGCTCATTTGTTTGTAGAAGAAAAACCAGCCCTGTAGCCCAAGGATTTCTTCCTGAGTTTCTACCCTAACTTACATGGAGTAAAACTAACCTTAACAGATCCAGCCCTAGCATAACAATAGCCTACGCTTACTTATCTGAGAGTAAGAGTCATTGACTTTAGAGTAAGCATGCAGATTTATGCTTGCTGAGCCCAGATTTCTACAAATCATTGCTGTTTCTGTCTGCGTCTATACTTGTGCATTTGCATGTGCAAGAGTCATGTGAGAGAATGATTTGTGTTAAATCTGCAGATGAGATGCATTATTTTACAGGCAGTTAATTGTAAGCATCATTACAATTCGGATTCAATTAATTAGAGGCCTTTGGCTTGTATATATGTGCCCACACATGAACCTGGATGTAGTGGTTGGGGATGGGCAGGCAGTTTCCAAGACTGGTTTCAGTGGAAGCTGGCAAGATGGGACAAGGATTCTCTGTCCTCGATTTGGGGGTGGGATTTTTGTAAGATTTGTTCTCTTGAATCTTCCATTTGGGAGGGGATCATCTTAAATTCAAGGTTGCTTCCATTCAGGGGAATACAAGAAGAAGAGCTGCACTGAATTGGACCAAAAGCAGGATACAGAAACAGAAGGGTCATAGCAATCTGATTCCCTAGCACTGTACTGGCTCTGCTGTTGGGAAATAATAAATAGCCATTATGACTAGTAGCCACTGAAGGCTGATCGCTTTAGAATATGCTACCCTCTGGGATTGAAAGATATGACAGAGCTGTCTAGAAAGCAGTACTCCTTGGGAAAAGCTCCCCGGGATTATTTGATTTCAAGCAGTAGGGTTTGGTTTCTGAAACTGGTCCACATGGCCCAAGCTATGGGGTCCAGAGCCTACAGCTTGGCAAAGTCCCAAATGCCATACCTTGCCATGGCTTCCCTTGGTTTACCCCTCCCTCCCTTTCTCTCCCTCCTTCCTTCCTTTTATTATTTTATTTTATTTTATTTTAATCTGACATGTGAACCTCCCAGTGCCCTGAGTTGAGCATGCTCAGCTGTGAAAGTAAAAGACCCCAGGGCTCCCTTATGTTTTGAGTTTGGTTGGAAAAAAAAAAAAAGGGAATGAAAATTTAATCCTTTAGGCCAATTATTTTCATTAAAAAAAAAAACAACCTCTTCTGTCCTCAGCATCTCCCGTGATGCTGATGGCCTGCCATTGTTCTTCTCTACCACGTGGCACTGGTCATACACAGGAAAGCAAGCCAAGGCCTAACCTAGAGAATTCCTAGCCAGGCTGGGGCCTGATACCCATGGCTATCAGTTCCATCCACCTTCTATCTACAAACACCTCCTGGAATTTCCCCACCACATCTGGTATCCAGTGAGGTTTGGTGGTCTTTCTACGAACGCATCTCCCCGCAGTCTAGGATGCGCGCTGCCTGGGAGCAAACACTTTGATTTCCAAGCTTTGTCCTTCTAGGGAAGAAGGCTTTTGACTTCTCCTGCCCCGCCGCTCTTTTGCAA